TATAATGGATCCAGCTCCAAGGAGAGGTTAAATTTCCCAGTGAAACGAAGGTATTTGCCCTGAAATGGGAAAAGCCCCCCCAGCCCCCGGGCAGGGGAACCCGCGGAGCCGTCAGGGCCTGGTGGTAAACCCTGCCCCCAGCCCTGCACCTGGCACCGGCCGCCGCGGGGGCACATGTGCGCACCACGCCACTGCCAGCCGGGCCCGGCCTGCCCCGGCCTCCCCGTCTGGGCCCGGCCAACGCCTGGCGCTCACGGAGCCCCCGGAGAGGGAGGGGTTACGTCGGAATCGGTAGCGCTGCTCTTAGCCCTGAGCCGGACCCGGTCCCGATGTCCACGCTGCTTTTCCTGGCCTCCGCCGCCTGTACGGGCCGAGCGCGACGGCAGCTCCGCAGCGCTACCGGGAGAGGGACGGGACTGCGCCGGCCACCCGGGACGCGCCGGAAAGCGAGGCCGGGGGCAAGGGCTGAGCCGGGCGAGCTGGGAGCGGGCGACAGGGCGCCCGGTGAACGCCGCCAGCGCAGCCCTTCTTCGCGGGCGCGGCTCCTGCGCGTCGAGCCCGGCGCCGGGCGAGTCATGGCCCACGGCGAGAGGGAGGACAGCGCAGGGCCGCGCCTGTTGCTGCAGGACGCACCGGGCGGTGGACCGGACCCTATGGGGCCCCGGTGCCGAGGCCAGATCCGCAGCTCCCTCAGGCGAGGAGTCCGAGACCTCCCGTTCCCGCAGCCGCACGGTGAAGGGCGCTCCCGCGGCGGAGCGGGACGCGAAACCCAAAGCCTGTCTGCCGAGCTGCCCTCAAAAATCCGCTTCAGAAAGATGAAGGCGCATGCAAATGTGTGGCGCCTCCTTGCTTGTGCCTTTAATCATGGTAAATTGACTCTAGTTCCTCCAGGCCCCCCGAAAATGCACCGCACCACAGCAGAGCTGGAACTCCCAGCGCGCCGCGCACCCGCACCCGCCGCCACCCTGGGGCGTCTGGCGCGGCCCCGGCGCCCTGTGAGATCCCGCTCTCTCAGCAATTTTCCTACCCAAAAGCTGCCGTGAAGGGAACAGCGCGCATAGATAGCATCAGCCTGCCTATATCAAAGAGACCCTGCTTAATTAAAATACCGGCTCCGTGTTCGCCGCCTTGTACGCGGCGCGGCCTCAGACCGCTCAGTGCCGGCTCCGCTTCCCCCGGGATTGCGCGGGGGTTCTCAGCTCCCCGAGTGGGGGTCGAGGCGTTTGAAGGCCCCCGCTGGCCCCAGCCCACGCGCCGGCCGCTTTTCGATGGGCACTTCGGCGGCCCTGGCCCGGGCCCAGTCACCGGCTCCGTGAGGCTGCCGGGCGAGCGGGACCCTCGCTGGCCCTAGGCGCAGCCGGTCTGGCGGACAGGCTGATCCCCGAGGGGACTCTGCGTGGTTCACGGCGAGCATTTGTTTGCGCTACTGAGCAACAGCCCGATAATTTATTGTTATTGTTATTAGTAACTACACTTTGCAGCTCGCTTACATTTGTCCTTCCGAAGGAGGGAGAGCGGCTGAATCAGTCACCTCCGAGCACAGCCGCCTGACGCTCTTCCCGGCGGTGGCGGCTCTGGGGCCCGGGGCCCGGGGCGGTCGGCTGGGAGCCCCCGGGGCTCGGTCGAAGCCGCGGGCTGCAGAGCTGTTCTTGGCAGCGCCCGGTAGGGGGGAAACTGGAATGTCTCCATCCCGGTTGCTGCACTGACCACGAGCTCAGGCTCTGTTCACCGTGCAGTCGGCCCGGAGTCCCCGCGTTCTCTGAGCGCTGCCCGCTACGGCAGGCTCCTGGGCAGCGATGTTTCGCAGTAGGCCGTTGGCAGGCGGGGAAGGTGCAGAGTGAAGCTGTGAGTGAAGAAAATAGGACAGAGTGAGCAGGGACACCCCCACCGTGGTTGCCTTGCCGTTCTCACCCCGCAACCCGTCGTCGGGGTGCCGCGGACAGAGTCGGGGACTGGCGGTCGCGCAACAGCGAGCGGCCGGTCCACCTCGTCGTGGGGCGAGCAGCGCTGCCGGCTTGTGGCCGGTGCAGCTACCGGGAGGCACGGCCCCGCGGGCTCTGCTCGCCCCGGTTGACCCCTGCCCTGATCCCGGCCCAGCCCCGCCGCGCCCTAAGGAGCCCCGGCCGTGCCGCCGCACGCCGGCAGGGGGCAGGCTGCGCCTGAGGCCCCGCAGCACCGGGCATCCGGGCCGGGGTCAGCCGGGCCGAGCCAGGCTGGGCCGTCCACTGCCCCCCCCCGACTGGGTGCATTCGCACCCGCGGATCAGGCAGCGCACCCACGGGCTGCACGGCTGGCCCGGCCCTCGCCGGGGCGGCAAACAGGGCAGCCTCCGGAGCTCCCCGCAGGACGCTGTGTCCTCTCAGCGCCCAGCCCAACACCCCTGCTCCCACAGGGGCAGCGGGCGGTGAGATCGGTACCACGGGGAACCCGAGCTGTATCCGGCGGGGCTGCCCGCAAGCAGGGAGCCGGGAATGCCCACGGAGCCGGGGTCTCTGCACCGTGGCCGGCATGCTCACACAGGGACACAGGGACTTCCTCTGTTCCTGCTGTCGAGCCCCCCGCGGCCCCGCGCTGTCCCGAGCACAGAGGCGGTTCTGTCACGCACACATCTGCAGACCCACAAAGTAGGGGGGCTTTCCCCGAGAACCCTCAGCTGAGAGCCCGCAGCTCTCCCCGGAGCTCTGGCACACGCATGGATGCAACGGGCGGGGTGAAGGGACGGGACGCCCTGTCCCGCGGGAGCGGCACCGGCCGCGGCTGAGCTTGGCCAGCAGCACTCAGTGGCACCGGCAGCCGGCTCCCGGAGGCTCAGCTATCCAGTACTTAATCCCGGTGCTCCGTTCTCCCCTGCCTCGTTTAGGAGATGCGGAGTTGTGCCTGGCTGCGTTCCTTGCTCGAATCTCAAAATTAAACCAAAACACCTCAAAACAAAAAGATTTGCCTTGCAAATCAAGGGAGAATTAGAACGAAGCCACGGGGAGGTGGGGTTGCGTTAGTCTTGGTTTGGATTTATTTCTGTGATGGTTTTGCGCGTGGGTGTTTTAATTGTATTTTGTTTTTCGTTAAAAGCACTATATAAACCGAATATAACACCTCATCGAATTGTTCTCGGGGAAGAGACAGGGATAATAATTATCCGGTGCAGCGTTCGTACACACACACGGCAAGAAACAACAAATCTTTGGTGTGATATTTGCGAGTAAAAGCCTACGAACAAAGATGGAATTATTGCTGCGGGTGCGATTTGGGAGGGTTCCCGCTCTGCTCTCCACGGCCCCGCCGCACAGCTCTGCCCTTCGCTTTTGGTTGGGGTTTTTCTTTCCTTCTTTTTTAAATTAAGAAGTTACGAAAACGGCTGCAGAAAGAGGAGCTCTAATTTTCCTCGCAATTGTAGGAGGTAATTTGAGGGAAGCCCCGTGTGATGGACAACACGGAATCCGTCACGGAAAATAAGAAGGGAACATAAAAAATTAATGTGAACGAGAAGCTTTCCTCTCCACTGATTGAACTCTGAAATCTAAGCAGCTTTTATCTTGATCTCAGAATTAAATAATCATATATTATTTTTTCAGCATTAGCTACAAAGGTTTTCAGATTTGTACTGTCCAGAACAAAAACCAAATACGCTCCATTACCGAAACCCCTTTCCAAAATATTTAACTAAAACAAGAATTTCTTTGAGAGATGTTTCTGTACGAAAAGGCTTTATCTTAAGACCCAGGGAAAAAAGCATTAAGTAATTCAAGTTAACACTTGTCCCGCTTATTAAGTATCAATATTTTGGGAGCGTTACAAAACAAACTCCCTTCCCTCGGCGGGGTCACGGCATATCGCGGGTCACGTTAAGAAACCCCGCGCGGAATCCCGCCCGGATTTTCATTTCCTCGGATTTAGATTTTTAACGGTATCGGCAGAAGAAAACCCCCAACAACAAAACCGAAAGGAGCGGGGATCCGGGGTCGAGCAGCCGCGCTCCCCCCGTGCACGGCGGCCGGTGGGGATCGCCTTTCCCGGCCGCTGCGGTCCCGGACGGGGAGCAGAGCGCAGTGCGTTATGGTGCGGTTCCTTCTGCACGCTGTCCGCGGACTCCCGCACCGCACGCACTAACACGCGATACCGCACGCACGGAGCTGAGCGCTACCGCTCCCGGTAAACGCCGGTCCGGGAGCGCCACGATATGTCCCGGGTCGCCGTCTCCGCGGGAGGGTTCCGCAGCTCTCGGGCCGCTGCGGGCAGGAGCGGGGCCGCCGGACGCTTCTCCGGGGCCACTCGTGGGCAGCTCCGCCACGACTGCGCGGGGCTGCCCGGCAACAATTCCCCCATCCCTGCAACCCGTCCCGCGTTCCCTCCGGGACCGGTCGCGCAGCCACCGCCCGCGGGACAGACCCACGTCCCCGCCGGGCCCGGCCGCCCTGATGGACCGTCCCGCCGCCACCTGCCTACGGCCCGGCGGGGGACGCGCGCTGCTACCTACCCCGACAGGGCAGGAGCCAGGAGCCGCCGTCGGGCCGGTAGCGGGGCGCGAAGCGGAGCGGCCGGGTCCCCGATCTGCCGCGATCCTCGGCGGCCGCGCTCGCTCTGCCCCCCGGCCCCGGCCCGCTCCGGTCCCGGTCCCAGTCCCAGCCCCGTTTGCCGCTCACTGCGCCGGGGTGCGCGGATCCCGCCAGCCCCGCGCCCCGGGCGCCGCCGCGCTTCGGGGGCCGCGGGGGCCCGGCGGGGCCAGGGCACTATTTGACGTCGAGGAGACGAATCACCGCGGCGCAGCGATACGGCGCGCACCAATGGAGTTCAAATGTCAGCAAGTTTGAGGAGGGGTGAGGCACCGGGGGGTGTGTTCCTCCGCCGCGGCCCCTGCTCTAAACGGCGCGGCTCCTCGGGACGCCGCATGGCACATGGGCTGCGGAGCGCCGGGGAAGCCCCGCCGCCCCGCCCGGCCCCGCCGTGCCGCTCCGCCCGGCCCGGCCCCGGGAGGGCCCTCCGCGGAGGGCGTGGGGCTCCGGCGCTGCCGGCGAGCAGGTGACACCGCGGGCTGCCCTGCGCCGTGTGCGCGGCATGTGCGCGCCCGCTTAGCGCGGGCTGCCCCCATGGGCAGCGGCGCCGGCTCCTTCCTCTGCCCCCCGTCTCTGGAAGTGCAGGCAGGAAACGCTCCTCATGTCTCCCAGATAAAAATAAAAGCGACTCCCTCCTCCCGGCCGCAGAGTGCCCCCGCGATCGGCCAGACGCGGGGCTGAGCCGGCCCCGCCGCCCGGCAGCGCCTTTCCCCGCCGCCTGGAGCGCCTCTCCCCGCCGTCGCCCGCCCCATGGATATCGCAACAGGTCCCGAGTCCTTGGAAAGGTGCTTTACGCGGGGCCAGTCGGACTGCTCAAAGATGCTGGACGGTATTAAAATGGAAGACCACCCTCTGCGCTCGGGTCCGGCCACGTTAGGAGTGCTGCTGGGTGAGTTGCCGTTCGCTTCTCGTCTGCGTCTAAAGCGGCTCCGGAGCTTCGCGGTGCCCGGGGCCGGCTGCGGCGGGGCCCGGCAGGACTGCTGCGGCCGCCTCGCCTCGGGCTGCAGCCGGGCGCAGAATCGTCTCACCGACGTTTGTGGGGTGCGGGTTCGGCAGCGGCCGTCAGGCTCAGTGTCGCTGAGCTCCCGGAGCAGGGGCCGGGCTTCCGCTGCCCGCTGGCTGTCCCGGGGCCGGGAAGCGGGACCGGGGGAGTGGGGCCGGGGCCGGGGTCGGGACAGGGGATGGGGGCCGGGACAGGCGCTTCACGCCGCTGTCTGCCGTTCGCAGGGTCGGACTGCCAGCACCAGGCCGTCTGCGAGGGCTGCCAGCGGCCCATCTCGGACCGGTTTCTGATGCGGGTGAACGAGTCCTCCTGGCACGAGGAGTGCCTGCAGTGCGCGGCGTGTCAGCAAGCCCTCACCACCAGCTGCTACTTCCGGGACCGAAAGCTCTACTGCAAGCAGGACTACCAACAGTAAGAGCGCGGCGGGGCTCAGCGGGGCCCGGCGCGATGCCGCCGCCGGCGGGGAACACTGTCAGCTCGGCACGGCCCGGCACGGCGTCGCGCCGCGGGCTCGGAGCGTGTTTCAGAGCGGGCCGCCGTCCCGAGCCTTGCGGAGCGGGGAATCACCGGCCCGGGCCCGCGGCTGCGGGTGGCGGCCCCGACAAGCGGGGACCCCGGCAGCGGGCGGGACCGGAGAAACTTTGAGCCATTGCGCCCGTCCTAAGCAGGGAGCTGCCGCCTGTCCGCTGGCCCCGCCGCTGTCCGGGACCCTGCGGCGCCGTCGGAGCGGTCCGGCAGCGGGGCGGCCCGTTTCGGCGCGGCTCAGCTCCGCCCGGACAGCTCAGGCAGCGCCGCTCTCGGGACAGCCCCGCAGGGCCCTTCTTCCCGGGACGAACCCCGTCCCACCGGCGCCCGCAGCTCCGGGACATCCGTGGAGCGGAGCGGTCGGTGCCGGCTGCCCGGCGGCGGGGCCGTCTGTGCGCTGCCGCGGGCTATCCCGGCAGAGCCGCCCCGCCGAGCCGAGCCGCCGCCGGGCGCGGAGGGTGCGCGGGCGGCCGCGGGGCCCAGCCGCGGGGACTGGCGCCGGTCGAGGCTCCTCGGCCGGGCGCGGCAGGAGGAGCCCGGCGCTGGCCCCGGCCCGCTCGGTCCGGGCGCTTTCTGTGATTTAGGCTTTATCCCCAAATGTCAGGCTTTGTCGGGCGGCCGCCCCCCCGCCGCGCCGCGTCCCTGCGCGGAGACAGAGCCCTGCCCGCGCCGCGCTTGTCCTCCCCTGCAGAAGCCCACTTCATGCTTGTCACCGAAATTGAGGATCCTTTTTGTGCCGGGAGGGGGGCGAACATGGGCACTTCAATCACTGGGACATAATATGGCTCTGCTAGAAGTCTGGCAACAAACAAAGAACAACAACTATTGGTTTGCATCAACTTTTGTCAGGCATTCAGCAGGCTTCCAGAAAGGCCTGAAGTGGCTTAGTGGCAACAATGTGCATTTCATAGCTACAGCATGAAAATCCATCTCCATGGAAACTGGTAGTAAATGCTAACATGACATGCTGGGTATAAATATTGTTAGGGTTATAACTCTTGTATAAACGGCCCAGATAAATGTCCCCCTGTTTAGGAATTACAACAAAATGTGTTATTTCATGCTGCAGCCCTCACCAGAGACTCTTCCATGGGCATGGGTTCTTCACATGAGAAAAGCTCAAAGCTCGCTGCCGCAGCCACCCTCACTGGGCCAGGGCCTGGCGCTGGGTGGGTTTTCTCATACTCCCGTGCAGAGAGCAGATCCACAGACTTTATCTTTTACTTCTATACAAAATAAACCACCCCATGAGAGCTGTAGTTGTAAATCAATGAAAACTGCTTCTGTAGGTAGTACTAAAGTATTTTGGTTAATTCATGAAGGGTTTAGAATAGTCTTCAGGCTACCTAAAAAAGCATCATTTGGCCATGTAGATATTTACATTAATTACACACCCATGTACCCTCTGAGTCCCATCTTTACTTTCTGTGAAATAGAGGATTGTGCTTCGCGACTTTAAAAGGCAAGATCACAGGCTGCTCCTTTGTACATGCAAAAGCACTTTCCTGACTGAAAATAGAAATGTCACCGCTTCAGAACTTTCCGTGTTATTAAAGGTGTCCAATTGTATAGGGGGGAAATGGGGTAACCAGGCTGACGAGCAATAAAAAGATATCAACATGTTGGCCTTTGTTGAATCCCAGCACCTCGCGTGACATGACATGGTCACCTGCTGTGTGTGCCCCTCCGGACTGACAGCAGCAGCGGCTCGTGGAAAGGGGAGGGCAGCCACCGTAAATCCAAATTTGTTTTCCATGAAATTTTATTAGTCCAAAAAAGCAAGCACGTGAAACTGCGCTGATGCTGTTTGTGTGCTTCCCCTGCCTGCTGCCTTTTAGACCTGGAGAAATACCCTTTTCTGATAGCGGAAGGATAAAAATAGCTGCTCGTACATGGCAAACGGTTCTGGGCTGTGCGGTGCAGGCAATCGGTTTGATCAGTAAGGGAGTGGAGGGAGGAGTGAAGCCATGAGCAAGTTGTGCAAGTCGTCTCCAATGTGCGGGTACAGCCATCGTCCTGGGCTGTAGCTTTCCGGGGTGGAAAATGCCTCTGCACTAAGAAAGCGTGCTTTGGAGTTGTGAGATGAAATGGTAACAGTGCAGAGGAAGACTGGTATCAGCAAAATCAGATGCTTTTTGTTATTCTGAGTCCTATTTATTGATGTTTGGGGGGGAAGGGGGGGAAAGAAAAAAGGGAGAATAAAGATTACTTAAATATCTTAGTTACTGAAATTTGCTTTAAATAGGTTTTTCTGTAAATAGTAATGTAATTTAAAGGTCAGATTTCTCCAGAACTCCCAGGACTATAATCAAGTGCTGTGTGTATATCTTTGGAAAACTGGTGTCTCGTCTTTCTAATGAAAGCAAGCTTCTGATGGGTCAGATATCAGACCTTAAACCTTTCACTGGGTCAGGAATGATTCCTGCCCATCCTCGGATGAGGGCATTTCACATTAGGGGGAAGGGTGAAAACATTTTTCTTTTTTTCTTTTTTATCTTTTTTTTTTTTTTTTTATAAAAGTGTTGCCTGTTTGAAGCTGCCCCTATGCTTGGAATGTTAGAACAAATCCCGGGGGAGATGGATTAGTGGCCCAGGCACAGTTTGAGATAGTCAGAGGTGCCTGATAGGTGTAATTTATCACAAAATATCATCGGTACATCAGTGGGACTGGTGGGACAAGCCGTGCATGCGTTTTACACAGGGTTTATACGAGAGATTCAATATTTTTTTGCATGAGCACATCCTCATCTTTTGATTTAATTCAATCAGAGCACTCCTTTTGCTAAAATGTAAGATTTTGAGGGTCACAGGTATGTTTGATTGCAAGCTTTTTGTAAGGGGAAAAAACCCAGAGCAGTCCAGTGGCACCAGGGAGGCTGGCTCTTGCAAACCCGAGTCAAACAGAATCTCTGTGATTTTAATGAGAGCTTTGCCAAATGGCAGGGGGAGTGTTGCACACTTGGAACCTTACCCTTACACTTTTTTCCTTTAAAAGAAGTTTTCTTTCTGACAAACTGAAGCCTTGAGAAGGAATATTTATCAAAAACAAGGGGTTTGCGGTAGTTACATTCTGGTTCTTTGCTTAAATGAATTTATTTATTGTACCACTCGTAACAGTGCTTCCTGCTATAAAACATTAGTAATTATAAATATTACATTTCTTTCCCATTTGTATATTTTCATTTGTTTTGTGATTGTGCTTTTCTGGTTTGTTTTTATCTCACTATCCAGCACTATGTAATGATATACCCTAGTTATTGCTGACATTAAACAAAAAGATATGCTACGAAAAATAACCGTTTCAGGTTACATATTTCATATGTAAGAAATGCATATAATTTCTAGAAAGATCCATATTCCTATTCTAGCTTTGGAAAGAAAGGCTGTAGAAGTGGTCAGTTATTCAAGAGGTAGGAGAGCAAACAATCACAGTTGCTCTTTCAGAATGTTACGTTAATGCATTCTAAGTTTTGCTTAGAGAAACAGTCAGGTTTTTGTTAGATTCTTCCAGATATGTCAGGCATTGTTTTAACATCATTATTGGGTGCTGTTAAAAAAGCCTTGCTGTATATTTCTGGTACGTCTTTATACTGTTCTTCATCTGTAAGTTCTTTCTTGTCGGTGACTGGGCTTATTTTTTATGTGCAGTCAGCACGGAGCAGCATGTACCTCGCAGGAAGGAAAGAAAATGCTGCGAAGCCCCGTTGCTGTAGGGGAATGTTCCCCCTCTCCACACTTTGGAAATTCTTTCATATGAGTATTATACCAAGGCTGATGTTTCCCAGTTCAGTTGCGTTTTACGTTGCAGTAAGACAAAAGCTTCCTATTAGTAAATGTCTCTTATTTTCGTGACTGTTATTTTTCATCCAGAGAGAGCGCGCGCATGTCTGTGGGGAGCGCGGGCTGAGGAATGTAGGCAGGATCCGCGGTGCAGGAGGTGACTTGAGTTCCCAGATTCTGCTACATGCAGAATGGACAATAACCATTTGCTCACAGGAAGGTTTTATTTGTCTTCAGTTGTACTTGCTTTTCACTTTTTAAACCAAGGAGAACCAGACGTGTTGTTGCACTCATTGGTGCAATTGCTCCTCATGGGAACTCAGCAGAATTGTGCAGGGCACTGGTGCCCCCCCCCGGGTGTCATTTGCCTCTCGTGTCAGGCTGATGCTTGTCCTTGTGTTGTTAGGAAATGGCATAAAAACAGAGTGAAACTTAGAGGTGAGGAGTAACCTAAGCTCATGCCCAGGACATGGAGTAATGATTAAAGTTATGTCATGCGCTAAAAATGCTTTTAAAAGTCGCTGAAACACTCTGGCATTTTTGCTGACAATCCAACCAGCCCTGCACTCTCAGCCACATCAGCCTGGCTCAAAACCCTCAGTACCGTCAGGTTTCCGTAAGCACCTCGACACAATCCCAAAAGCGGGAATGCTGAGGAAACGTAGCTGTTATTTCTGACGTCAGCAGAGTCACTGTAGTGGGGCTGAGCCCCCACAGGTCCCCCCTGTGCCGGCAGGAATTTATCCCGTAGCACATAGGGCAGATATCGGCACTGGAGCCCAGAGGTGGTTCCAGGTTAGCCTTAGGAAATACTTAAAACAGGGGATCTGGAAAGGAGCGTGGTTTAAGAATTTGGGGAGACATTTTGGTTTTCTGCTGCAATCATGGTAACCTTATTGAACAAAATAATTGCAATGGTGGTAGGTAATTTGCACTAATCCACGGTAGAAATGATAGGGGGGTCTTTTTGTAATACAGGCAGTATGCAATTAGATTAATAAGAGGATAATTTATAATGCTTAACTACCAACCTGGGAAAAAATAGCTAACAAATACAAAATTCACTGCAAAAATGTCTTCACTGCTGTATATAAGAAACAGGAACA